GTAGAAAAGCCAGCCTCCATTAGCCCTGCAATCACATACAGATTGTGGTTGTCAGAATAAAATTTACTTAAATGAAATGGTCGATGTGATTTTATGGAGGAAAATTGTTTAGATTAATCGACCAATCGTTAAAATAGTCCATAGATTAATCAGTAGAAAAATAGTCATTAGTGGCAGCCCTATATAGTATCTAAAAGCACACAGTAATGAATGTGTTTTAATAGTGAGAATAGTGTTTCAGAAATAGTAATGAAACTCACCTGAAACTCTCCCACATATGAAGTGCCCAGTACCATGTCAAATCTACAATGAAAAGTTGCAATATTTGATTAATTGGCCTTTCTATTGGCCTTTTTCCCCTGTCATTTGACTGTACATTGGCCTATGCTTCAAGCATACTGACCCGTTCAGTTGTAGAGATCCAGCCAGTTTCAGTCCACTTATATAGAAATTGCCACTGACACTGGCATCCTGCAGAGATCATGGGCCGTGGGAGTCATTTTCCTGCCACATGTGATCTAAAAACTTTACAATTTCATTCTGTTTCACCAACCATGTTGAGGATGAAGAGAGGCTCCAGCGTGGTGTTGGGCAGGATGGCGTAGGCCGTGAGAGTTCCCGTGGCCTGCAGAGTCACGTTATTGGGCTCAAAGGTCACGTTGGGCTGTGTGGATGTCTTCAGCAGGAGCTTCATCATCATGTCAGGAAAGCGTTTGGAGATCTAAGGAACAGGGAGATTTGAATCTCACATCCACTGATCTACGTCATTTGTTATCAGAAGGTTCATGGATGCTACAGGGAGAGACGGGCTTACCTCTGGAATGAACGCTCCAAATGTTTTGGTGTTCAACCGTATTGGAGAGCTTGAGGGGACCTGCTCACATGGGAAAAGCACCTTGGTCACACATTAAACCAGGTTTGGGAGTTTAGCCTTGTTGGATGGGCTATCGGTAAAATAAAATTCCCTCCTTTATTTGCCCTTTCTGCTCCTTTGACTTGGTATTTGGAGGAAAAACATTGACCGCCGAGTCGTTGATCATGGTGATGGTTTGTCCACTACAAGGTGTAGCTTAAAGTCTTGATTTATTTGAGCATTTATTGTGCAATCAGCTCATGCCACCATCTTGGTGAATTGCCAGTCATGGTGATTAGAGCATGTTAAAGCAAGCAAGTTAAGTCAAGTGTGGACCAGTATACACTGCATTTGGTGATGTAAAATAACATTATATAAATGTTATATAAAAGAAAATTAAAGGCAAATGATATAAAGAGAAAATGGATAGGGGCTATCAGAAATTATCTCCAAAGCAAAATAAAATTCCCTCCTTTATTGACCTTTTTCTGATGTTTTTGACTTTCTGTTTGGAGGAAAATCTTTGACTGTCGAGTTGTTGATCACGATGATGGTTTGTCCTTTAGGAAGTGTACGCTTAAAACCTGAGGGTAGCAATTTATTATTGGCTTGCGTGGCCATCTTGGTGCATTTTCAGTTATAGTAAGAATACTCTGAACGCATTAAAGCAAGCAAGTACAGCTTTATCATCGCACCAGTTAAACTCTAGAAATTTTGCGAGCATAACAGGGAAAGCATTATCAGACTGTTTAAAAGCAGCTTTGGTTAAAAGCAGCTGGCAGTGAATAATGTGGCAGGCTCACTGTGAGCTCACTCACCATGTCGTCGGTGATGTACAGGCTGAGAGCTCCGGCTCTGTTGTAGACAAAGCCTGCTGAATTGGCCATGAAGGAGGACAGGCCGATGTACAGCATGCTGCTCGTCTGGGGGGGCAGGGAGAAAGGCGGCACAGAGAAGGGAGGCTCCTGGTGTTGGCCAATGTTGTAGAACTCACCCTGCAGGTACATGAGAACCAGCAGAGCTCTTGGTCAGATAGATAGTCAGCATGAATTCAATAAACGATTAGGAAAAGTAAAGTAAAAAATACGTGGTTAGTTGAAAGGTTTCTACTAAAGCAGAAAATGGTTCTGATGACACAAAGACTCATATAAAAAGATGGTGTAATCATATTCCTTTAGACTTTTTCTAAGGTACAGTTTTACTGGGTAATTTGGCAGATTGTTTTAGGAAAAAGTGCATCTTACCTTTAAGCTTAACTCAATGAGGAAGTTTGAAATGGAGGGAGGAGTAACCATGGAGTACTCAATTTCAGCATACTTATCCACTGTAGCTAGCACTAGAAGATAAACAGCCACATGGTACAGTACCAGCCTCTTACTGTAGCATAACTTTGGTCAGAAGCAAGTGACATGTGTTTCTGAACTGTTCTCTTTTTAACATGACTCATTTGAAATAAAACGTTTTGCTAAGTGTATTAATTATGAATGTTACAAGCATCAGATTAGTTGGGCTTATGTTACCGATCATACCATTCAGAGTTTTCAGTTGGGGGTTTATATCAGATATGGCGTCATGCACCAGAGGGCAGATCTGTAAAGGAAAGCAGTGTGATTCCATGACAAAATCATCGCCGCTGTGAAAATGACTATGTAGTTTATCCATTACAGTATAAGTCCTTGTACAATACCATTCAAAAGTTTGGACACACGTACCCATAGAAAGTTTTATTTGTGCTGTTTTAGAGTAATTATAAAGATTTTAAAAACTATAAAATATTAAATATAAAATTATGCACTGTGTGATGGCTACAGCCACACAGTAAGACCTGAAACATTCTTACATCCTTAGATGATTTACTTTGTATGCTTTTTGCCTTATTTATAGTAATAATTCATAGGTCTTACTTGATGTGTTTTGCCTTTTGTGTTGGGTGTAGTGTACTGTACATAGTTTGATATTGTAGGGTTGTGTGCAGTGATTGTCTAAATTCATTGTTTGGTTTGCAGTTACTTTGGTTGTGGGGGTGGTCTTTTCTATTCAGCATATAGGTGTGGCCGAGGGCGGAGCTCTCTTAAAAGGACAACCCCTGGAGCAGGAGTGAACCATGTGCTGCCATAGCTAGAGGGGGGAGTTGGGGTTTAGATTTGTTTTGCTCTGTTTAATTATATGTAGTGTTTATTTGGTTTACCCCTTTGTGTGTTAATTGGTTTGGCCAAACCACTATACTGTATATGTTCCTTCATGTCTCCTTATCGAAAGGTCAGTTTGTTTCAGTTAATACTTTGCTTTGTAATGTTAAGGTCTTGAGTTTGTTACTGTTTGTATTTTGGGGGTCAATAAAGCCCTGTTTCTTTAGTTAAGCTCCTGTGTTTGTGTTGCCTTACTGCTTGGTCCCTCACACACTGTAAAAAAAAATTGGGGGGGTGGGGCTTGATAAGTTGGGATGGTTGTTGGTTGAAATCCCTGGGTTGGCAGAGTGATCCCATCCTTGGGGCCTTGAGCAAAGCCCTTAACTCCAATTGCCCCAGGTGCTGGCTAACTCTGCTTTCTCCTCTATGCCAGTTTCATGAGGTGGTCTCCTGCGATGCTTTCCCAGCTGTCCTGAAGGAGGTCCCACATATATGCTGAGTTCTCATTGGTTGCTTTTGCTTCACTCTCTGGTCAAACTCCTCCGAAACCATTTCTACTGTCTTTAGATTAGGTGGTCGGGTCATGTGATGCAACACTCCACTTTGAAGGAGGCTTGGTGTATCCAAACTTTTGACTGGTACTGAACATTAAGGCATCATAGGGCATTGTTGAAAGTCACCTGGTTCTGTAAAGAATCTCGCAAAGCTTGATCAATGAAGCTTGTAAAAAGGTTATACAACCAACTGGGAAAGAAACAACTGACATTATTATTAAGAACATACATTATTTTCTTTTACAGCCCAGGGCGTCGGAAATGGGGGGAGCAGGGGGTGGGGAGTGTCCCCCCCAGTGTTGGCAGGG